CCGAAAACCTCAGCCCTAAACCCTAAACCCTCAACCCTAAACCCTCAACCCTATCCTAAGGCCCTTTTTCCCGCTCCCTCATGAGAATCCTCTCTCACAACCTTCACATGAGCTGTAATCTAAACTCCTAGTGTCCCCCTTTATAGCACCTTTTTTATAAGGTCTAGGGTGTAGGGTTTAGGGTTAAGTTGTTTACCGGGCTTTGGGTCTGGGTTTAGGGTCTAAACTCCTAGTATTCCGCTTAATAACCCTACCTATAATAGTCCCCTATATAATCCCCTACAACACCTTTTTTTGGAGTTTAGGCTATAGCTCATAAACCCCATCGAGCCATACGATCTCGTAAGGCTGCTACCGCCAGGAAACCTTCTCCTCAAAACCCTGACATCCTAAACCCTAAACCCTACATAACTCTAAACCCTAAACTAAACCCATTATAGTTGATTCCATTTTCTTTCCCATTATCCCTATAAAAACCCCCTGAATAGATGGGCAGTACATCTCGAGGTAACCGCTAACCTTCCCTCTACAGGCCCTCACTCTTCAACTTACCGGTGCTTAAGGGGAATAGGGGAGTGAATATAGGGACTATTATGGGGTATATATGGGGATTATACAAGGACTATTAGGATCCACTCCCCCACTCCCCCTTAAGCACCAGCAAGTAAATGCTGGAATCGCATAAGCCACATGACCCACAATCTGTATAGCCCCCGGAAAAACATCTTGAGGCCCGCCGAAACTCCCCTCTTAAGAGCACCCTCCGTCTCTAAGCACCGCAAAGCCAAGTTTCCCGGACTTCGAGCCATAGACCTTCAAGGTTTGGGATTCAGTGTTCAGGGATTCAGGGTTTAGGACTCAGCATGTAGGATGTAAGGTTAGGATTCGGGCTTTCGGAGTCAAGGCTGTTGGATTTGAACAAGGCTTAGGAGTTAGGATTCGGGTGCAGAGTTTAAGGACCTCCTGTCAATGTTGAAAAGGACGTTTCTAACAACCTGCATATGAATCGGAATCCTGCAATCGAAACAAAAAATCGTGTTGCAAACTTACGTGACCATTCGGAGAGGACATACAATACACTGTGCTCCGTGTCCTCCTCCTTGCGTCATGTGAGCGCGAGTACGTCATTTCTCGAAATTCGCATGTTTTGCCTTTTGAAATGGCAAACCCCTTTAATGGTGGTTAGTAGGAATTAAGGGAATATCATCCGTATAGTGTCCCTATATATTATATAATGTATTCCCTTATTCCCGACTAAACCCCAGTAAGATGAAATGCTGTGTGGTGCATCTCAACCTCTTCCCGGGTGAGACTGTTAAACAAAAGGACAATGCTGTCAGCAAAATGCACAGACCAAGCGCACACAGCATGATGTCTGTTCAACCTATTCATGGACTCCTGCGGCCTATGAATCGAAAGGACCTTGCGCCATCCAGATATGCCGGATTGCACGCAAGCAGCTTCTGTGCAAAATCCAAGCAATTTCCATTTGATAAGACCATTTCCATTTGGTAAGACCATTAGGAATCTGTACAAAACGCCAACAAGTGTGGACGGGGAAACAAGCATTGACAACAGCAAATGCCACAGGCAAATTTATCACGGGCACTCCCATCCCTGAACCCTAAACTCTAAACCCTACGTAATCCCTTAACCCTAAACTCTAAACTTTCTAAACCCTTAACCCTAAACCTTGTATACACTCTAAATCACACTTTAAAGAGTCATTCATTGACCCGGCAGGGGACCTGCAACTCAAATGCCATCCACAAAACATTCACCAGGAGGATGGCAGCCATGAGCATTTCCTGATATTAGAGTTAAGGATTTAGGGCTTAGGTTTTAATGCTTCAGGGAGAAAAAGTCTGCGCGCTCCAGGATTGTAGGTTGGGGTTTAGGATGCAGGCGTTAGCATACAAGCGTTGGGAGGTCGAAGGTCGACACTCGAGAATCGGCGATCAATTTGGGAGTTGGGAATTCTTGGCCAAGATTTCCTGACGCCTTAAACCTAACTCCTAGGGGCGAGTGGTTCAGGATTTCACCTGAAGACAGAGAATAATGTGTCAACACCATACTACCTGAGACCCCGAACAATACGTGCAATCGGCTCGTTCTGTGGATGTTGTACCTTTACTTTGCCTACTTCAAGGTCCAGCTCGGTCCTCCTTCAGATCAGGCTTTGTGAAAGTCACGCAAGGTGTGCCGGTGTGCCAGGGGACACTCTTGCTATAGCAAAGTAAGCAGCCTACCACATTCCATGTGGGGGTTCTCAAAGTAGGTGGTTCTGGCGAATCTAGGTGCAGATGGGGGGGTCGCAGGGTTTTGGGGAGGTCCCTACTAGGGGTTTATGGTTAGGGTGTGCCGCTATTCCGGGGATGGAAGAGATGGGCCTGGCTGCAACATGATTGAAACTGTAGCTACGAAATTCCTATGTCTCCTGACATTCGAAGTTGGGGTTGGCCTACGAACCTTTTTAACACTAGCAATCGATTGGATACCCGAAAAAAACATAAAATGTGAAAAATCAAAAGCCCAACCCCGGAAATTCTAGCATCTTCGGCAAAGCTATCCTGGTCGCTACAGGTCCCTAAACCCTAAATAGGAGTTTCCATTTTCTTTTCCGTTATCCCTATATAACCCCAATATGTTCCCTGTTATACTATAGTAGTTTCCATTTTCTTTTCCATTATCCGTATATGGCAGGACACCCAAAGAGACGGTCCCAAGTAGGCTCCGGTTTAACGGGGGGTGCGATTCGGGAGGTCTTGGAGAACAACTTGAGGATCAGGGTCAAGTCACATCTGACCCTAAACCAGTGTCAGGGTTTAGGGCTTAGGGTCCCTAAACCCCAAACCCTCAAGACGAGATAAAGATTACAATTACTTAGGGCCCCATTCATCCTCAATTTTTCAAAGCTTTAGGCTCAAAATGACCTCCCCAAGCTCTTAAGCAATTGAATAAACATTTAGCCCTAAACCCACCCTAAATCTGAAACCCCTTAAACCCTAAACCCCTAAGCTCTTTGCCCTAAACCCTAAGCGTGAGGGAATGCAAGCCCCCGGTTCTAAATCTGCCCTGGAGCCTTCCCAATACTTAGTTTTTGGGTTTACACAGGGATTTAGGGGTTTTGGGGCTTAGGATTTAGGGTACTCCCTTGGTTTCGTGAGAGTTCAACTCTTGGCAACTCAAGGGGATTTGAATCCCTGGGTTCCTTTGCGAAAGAACCCGTCCGCGCTGAAACTTAAGCCTTAAGTCCTTAAGCGCTAAAACCTTGAGCCCTGAGCCCTGGTTCCGCATGATTGGTTCTATAGTCTATCGGGATTCTTTTGAGAATTACCTAGTTCAGACTCCTTGGCCGTTGATTCATAGGCATGAAGAAAACAACCACCATAACGCATTGAAAAAAGTCTGGGCCCCTTGATGTGATTTCCATCTACATGGCGCAGAAGCAGAAGCAGAAGCGGCCACATCCGTCTAAAACTCCAAGGCTCATACTTGTTTGACTGAAGCCAATCACGCATCTTCTCACAAATCGACTTCCGATGGTACTCGGCAGCTAAGACCTCAGCGGCGGAGAAATAGCTGCTTAAAAGGATCACAGCACACCAACACCCCCCACCATGGAAAAAGTCGTCCTACACTCCACCACCGTCAACACTAGATTCCTAATGGTCCTAATGCCCTTCAATTTACACCCTAAAGCTCCTAAGTACCATGGGTACAGCAAAGGGACGGAGGAGGTCTTCGACTCCTCCGAATCACTTTCGTGCCCCAGTAAATTTTTGGAGACATCGGATCTCGATTTTCCTGGCAGCTTCTGTCATGGAGGCGGCATCTACATATATGCGCACTTATCAAAAAGGGTTGGCTTCAAGGAAATAAAGAAATTATGAGGCGATTTTAGGGGCCCTTATTTAGTATATGGGGATTGGCTTGTGAATCCCCATATAGTTAGTTACCTTCGCCCTTCGCAATGAAAGAAGATAAGAACCAAATAAGAACCAAGAAAGATAGTGCCAGTACCAGGCAAAACGAAGTAACCCGCATCACCAAGATGCACACAGACATGAAACCCTCAGAACAACAAGTCCCCTCAGCACTATTGAATTCTGCCAGGTGTCTTTTCAAGCTCCCTTGGGTTTTACCCTCAACCATAGAATGTGGAGGGCAAAAAAATTAGGAACATTATCCCCCCCCAATAATCTTCATATACCTGTATAGTATAACATGCCCAAATCCTTCTTCAGGCCGCTACATAGTATACCCTCAAAGAACACCCACCCTCTCCCAGCGCTCCCGATGCTTTGAAGAATTTTTCCACGGAGCCGGCGTCTTCTTCCGTGCCGTCCTGGGTCTTGAATGGAAGCTTGCATCTTCAATTAACGGTTGGAGTTCACAGCTTTGGGGCTCAGTTGTGGGCTTCAATAAGCAACCCGAGAGGTGCTGAACTCCAAAAAAGCAAAACCGTGGCCTAAACCATCACAATAGGCTACTGTTCATACTTCGGGGCATCCAGGCGTATACCTCAAAAGAAATCCATAGGTAGCGTCTTGGCGGTCGTCTTTTTTCAGCCCGAAAGGCACCCAAAGGTTCCCGCAAACCACATGCCACCAACCTTCCCTGCCAACTGGCCTCAAGATGAAGATTCTCCAGTATTCTTGAGTGTTATAGTGAATCATAAATACTGCTTGTAATAGCAATAATATTATGAATAGAAATGTTATTTAATTATTTGTCATCTCCTATGAACCTTGGGAAAGAATGGACTTTGCGACGGTCACTCTGAATGCCATCAACTCTCCCACAAAGCGTTGCAACTTTGACCGGCTGCTTTCGAGTAGCAGGCAGTGCAGAAACCAAAGGCAAAACCCAAACTTTTTGCACTCGAAAGTCGTCAGGACCAGTTTGCGCTCGTTTGCGGACATTTGTGCTCGTTTGGAATGTCTATGCGCTCAGTCTGCAAGTTGTTTTGTGGCTGTATGCGGCATTTTGCGCTGATATGCGACGTTACGCGCACTTTGCGTTTGCGCACCAATTTGTGCATCAAACAAAGATCCAGGAAATAGTGCGCAGTACCAGCTGTAGGCCCATCAGCTCAGGACCGGCGGCAAACCCACACTAAGGCGACGGCTGTCCTCCCACAAGAGAAATCCGCACAAAGCTCTTATAACTTCTAAAAGCTGTGTTTGCAAATGGTAGAGCATGCCACTCATATGACACTCAGGCTGTTCACACACAGACGCTAATTTGCCAGCACAACGCAGCTGCTGAACGGACTCATGTCAAATAGCATTGGCAGAGCCAAACAACCTGACGTAGCCAGCCGCACGAGCCCTCTATAGGAACTTTCATTGATCACCGTGCAGTCCCCGTCCACCACTGGGAGGTGAGAAGCACATCTACGGTAAGCAACCAGCCACAACAATGCAGGGGGATAAACAGCAGAGGAGGAAGGTGCCAGTCCAGTGGGCCAGGACATAGGCGCGAGTGGTGCCGAGCAAGCAGCCATGGCAGAGCAGGGAAGAGAGTAGAGAGGGAAGGTTCATAGAAAGACGAGGCCAACAGCGCAGAAAGCCGGGCCCACAGGGCTAATGGCGCAGTGTCTTCAAAAGAGCACGGAAGAAGGGAAAGCAGGAAGCAGACGAGGCCAGTAGCGCGCATGCGCGCCGAGGAGCAACCAGGAAGCCAAGATGAGAATAAAGCAGCTTGAAGGACAAGAAAGATGGGGCCGATCGGCTTGGAAGGGGTCCTCTTTTGCAAGACATAGCAGCCTTGATCCTCGGCCCTCTCCTCTGGGGCCCAGTACCTCTAACACAAACCCAGAACTGCTACACCGGCTACGTGGCATAACTCAGCCCCTAAAACTGATCATCTATTCATAAGTATATCATAGTTCCTTGAAGTAAATTCCTCGATGTAGGTTCCCGTATACAACCATACAAAAAGCAAGACGAACCCAATAGATAGGTGGCACCAGTAATTCCAATGTTATTTCTCAAGTTCTAAAGCCTTGTTATTCCTTAGTTATGTCAGGTTCTTAGGGCTGAGAACAGGACCTAGGTTATCATTAAGGTAATCAAGTGTCTCCCGTTGAAAGTGCGTGATCCCTCTGTCCAAAGTAGTCTTCCAGTATTCGGGACGGCTAGAGGGAAAGATGATTCTCAACCTTGTACTCGTGAGACATGCTTACGACTTGATGTTCTGTTTTCCCTATAGGAAACTATGCGAAACAAGGTCGTTTTGAGACTTAAATAACAGGATGCGCAGTAAACGATGTGTTCCATGATGTTCCATTCCGCTGGCAAGCCACGACCTGCTCGAGAACACAGGTCTCCGTTCTAGAATCGGCGGTCTCCCAACAAGATCTGTTTCAGGAATTACGCCTTCGAGCACCAGTTTCGCTTTGGGTTGAAGGAATCCGAGCACCAAAGCCGAAATAACCAAAAGAAATCCAGGTAGTAGTGTCTGGAGATGTTGTTCCTCTTGGCCTTTGGATGTTGGAAATGGGATTAGGTTGATGGGATGATGTGAATGGAATGTTGTGAAGAGGTTGCTGTAATTTTCGTGAGGTTGTCGTGAGGTCGCTTTACTACACTAGATATGTTGTAAAGCACGGGGCAAGGCTGGCGTGAGCCGCCGCTTCACTCCAAAAGCGCGCCAGCAGGCCGGCGCACTTAGAGTGTCCTCCGATTTGTGGCGCACAATTGAGGACCCTCTCACTGGTCGCGGCCTGCCGAAAAGCTGGCGCATGGAGTGTCCTCAGAATTCTGCTTGCGATCGAAGACGGAGCATCGGAAGACCCTCTCAGTGGGCGTGGCGCGTCGGAGCGCTGGCGCGTGGAGCGGCCTGGGAATTCCGCATCTCAGAACTGCCCGGAAACGACGCCTGTCTTGGTGGGAGCGGGGTGTGGGAGCTGACTCGGAATCGAGCGCGCTTTCGGTGGGACCTGCGTCGGGCGCCGGCGCTTGGAGCTCGCTCATCAGAATTCTGCTCGGAATCGACGACCCTGTCGGTGATATGAACAAACGACAGACAGTGATGGGGTAGCAAGAATGACATTCGGTAGCATGGGATGATACAATGTTCTTGCTGTGCTCTCTTCGGGCTGTCTTCGGTGGAAGGCAGGGATCATGCCATGAGTCACGGTTTCGAAGCGCTATCTCCTCGTGATTGATACCTTTGGCTTCCAAACGCACTCGGGACAAGTGTTCTCTCGTTTTTGTTTGTTGATTCAGGAGATCCCAGTGAACCTTGTGTGATGGTTGTAAAATGTGCTTACGGATCTCAAGGCTTCTTTCTAGGTTACAAGCCGTAGACGTGCGCTCACATGAGTCCGCAACGTGTAGAATATCTGCATACACGTGTAAAAGCGCAGCGGCGCACCTACGGCCTTTAACCTACTCAGCATATCCAAAACCATCAGAACTGATAATCTGCACATCTTTCGGGGCATAACTGTAATAAAAGCCTATAGTGCAATCTTGCGAGAATAGGTATCAAAACAGAATTATGCCGAGAAACCGCTAAGGCTAAAGCCCAATTCCCAGGTAAATTCTAATCCCTCAACCCCAATCCGAAACGCCGACCCATCTCTAAACCGTAAATACCACAGCCTACATCCTAGGGTTTTACTTCTGGACCAAGTGTCCCAAGCCCCAAGGAGTTGGCTTGCATGCAGTTCTGGGCCTTGGGAAGTTCGCCTCTTCCTCTTTCCCCCAGGCACCCCCATGACGGGGGAGCCATGCGCCTGAGATGTCTTGGAATTTGAGTTTGCGCTCTTTGGGTAAAAGGAAGTCTGGGTTCAGGATTCTAAGTGATGGAGCTTGGCTTTGGGTGAAGCTTGAGGAAACGCGGGCGGGGATACAGGAGTGCGGGCGTGTGCCTCTTGGATTGCAATTTGAATTTGGACTTGAAGTTGTAGACTGCAGTAGGGGCTTACACTTAAGGATATTCACTAGGAAGCGAAGAATCAGGCACGAATACCAAAATCATGCGTTGGGAGGGGTAGGAGCAGAGGAGGGGTCACCTGATGCTGTCGCGAAAAAAGACTGGCTCGCAGTGGCAGCTCTGTAGAAAATCTGTAAACTCCAGAGGGGAGGATGCAGCGGTATCGTACACACGTAGCGACCTCTCATATGGTATCTACACCTGGAGGACAGGCGCAAATGTTGTGAACTGCTGGTCATGCATATGCTATTCCCAAAATGGCGGGGACTTTTGCATGGGTATGGCCTAATAACACGTTGTATTTCCAGTAATCTCGATAGAAGAATTATGAAGTTACAACCTTTGCATTACCCTGAACTGCCACATTTTCATTTACTATCCATTTTGGTGCAAATGTTGAGCCAGTCCTATCATGATATGAGCTATAATCTAAACTCCTACTATCCCCCTAAAAAACCCCCTCTCAGAGTCCCTCGCATAATCCCCTATACAGCCCCCTGTAAGGACTTTAGACATCTTTAGACTTTTGCTCAGATGGCTTCGTGCGTCGCAACTAGAGAACTCGTGATTCCATCTCAGACGATTCCCGAGCACGCTCTAAACCCTGAACCCCAACCCCAAACCCTAAACCCTAAACCCCAAAACCAAAACCCTAAACAATAAACCCTAAACCCCAAACCCTAAACCCTAAACCACTTCCAAGGCAGTTGGGTATCTCTTAGGAGCGACATTCGGGATGAGGAGGTAGATGTTCACTTTGTAGCCGGCATTGATGCCGTGGCTCACATAGACCCCGACACAGACATGAACTTCACTGAAACCCTCTAGAAGAATGCCGGGGCTGACAACACAACTGTCCACTCTTGAAACCCCAAAAGCCCTCCGAAGCACTACAAACTCTGCAGAATCTGCATCTTGCGACACTAGTGCAACTTCATCTCCCACTCAAAGGAACACATTCCCCTCCCTCTAACAATGCTGAACCATAAATCCTGCACCCGCAAACCCAAACTCTAACACAAGTGGTTTTGACTGGATGTTGAAATACTAGACCTACAGCCATAACTACCTACAACCTCACTTGGGCTGGTATAGGACCACTTCTGTGAATCCCTGGGCGGGTGAGCCAGAGTCCACACCAAGTTGCCGACATGCTCGGTTCGGAACCGCCAGATGTGCAAAAAGAACAGGGAGGCTTCTCAGATTCTTGAATCCTGGGCTGACCATACGGTTTACTCTTTGGGGTAATTAGCCGGGCAACCCTACACCCTACACACTCTACCCTAACCGCGCACACTGCATGAAACTTCAAAACTTCAGATTGTTTAAGCCTAAAGCTTCGCGGGCTACAGCTGTTAGGAACGCTTTGGCTTGAAGATTGCTAGCGCTACAGCCGGTAAGGGGCGGGGCTTGAGCTTCAGTATCCAGGTTTTAGGGTCTAGGAGGGTTGCGGACTACAGCTGGAAAGGATTAAACTGAGGTTCAGAAGGCCATTGGGTACGGATGACGCGGGAAACATGTCGAGACCCATGTCCAGTTCGCTAAATGAAGAACTCCTAATTTAGCCCAAGCAAATTTGAGTCTTTTCAACCACCCATAACCCGAAGACTAAGCGTCAAGTTCAAAACCCGACTTATATATGAGGTAGGCCCCACACCC